GATAAGATGCAAAAACATTTAACAAACTGGAAAGCCCGATATAATAAATTTCCTTCTAGTGATGAAATCCGAAGTACCAACATTTAGAGTTGCCGCTATTCTAACCCTCTAACGGGCTAAAAATACTACGTCAAGGAATATGTAGTAGGATAACCTTGACCTAAACTGTTGGTACGCGTAGGTAATTGCGACACAACAAACACGCGCCTTTCTTCCGTTATTTTCGCAGACGTTAAGTTTATAAAAGCAGTTCAACTATCAGACACGTTTATCTTCAATGCAAGCTATACAGAGCTTGAGTTTCGGAAAACGCTTTTGTTATCAACATAAGAACCTGTAAGAAAGAAATGGCTAGAACTCGTCTTTTCAATAATGTGTGATAGTAATTATACTTAGGCTAAAAAAATCGTTACATAAAGTAGAGGAACCATGGAAATTGTAATTTTATTCGTAGGAAAGAAGAATGTTCGAAATAAAACAATGTTAGTGGGTAGTTATATTTCATTAACAACTATAATCTAAAGTCTGAAATAATAAAAAAATCAACAACCGATAATTGTATGACCTTACCGTGTGGATAGATTACGTAACACCCTAACTGGTCATTCTTTCTGCATTGAAAAATTTAGTAAATTCGTTTAATATCCACAATGCTGGAATACAAGGCCTACCTTTCTGAAATCTTGAACGAAATCAAGCACAATGTATTTCTTTTTAGCAAACCTTTTAATTTGTTATACGTATTAACCTAATGTCGTGTAAGCAACCTAATAAAACAAGAATCCCTTATGCTTCAAAGCTAACATAACGAGTGGAATTAAATGGCCGTTCAAACGTTAGTCTGAACATTCATATTTTTATTGTCCATTTTGACTGCTCTTTGTAAGATAGCATTTCATAACAAACTACATCATATCAGATATCACCCTATTTTTAATACAAGCTTTTATAAACGGTTTTTAATAGGTGCATAGTTTTTTTTACATGAAACATGAAATGTGTTTTGTATGCAACAAGTTTCACTGTTAAAAATTATAAAAAGTTATGCAATATGTTGAAATGTGTCGAGTCTAGCCGAATATGTATTTAAATACTGCTGCATGTATATCAATGTAAGCTATGAAAGGCTTTGCCAAAATTAACAACTTAATATAATTTTAGCTATGCATCTTACAAGTCATTATTTTACTATAAACTCACTTCCCACATGCATGCACACACACACACATACATACGCACAACTGTTTTTCTATAATTGGTTTAAACTGATACATTGTGGTTTTAATTTACTATCCTCTCGTGTCATCCTGGTTATTCATCGTTATTAATATACGGATAAATTTCCCATTTGGTTGGAAAAGCTTCTCTGTAATCTTCAAAATATTTGCAGGAAAATATACTAAACTACATAATTAAGAGACATTAATATCAAGCCCAACTTAAAAACTAAATTCTCCACTTCCTGTTTAAAACTTAAAAAGGGTCGAGACATATCTAAAACCGACTATGTAATCTCAGAATGCACAGCTGTAAATCTAACGTCTCAACCCCCCCCCAACAAAAAGTATTCTGAAACTATATGTATTCATGTTACGCATGATTACACCCAATTTAGGAACACAAAACAGATTAAACACGTTTCAGACATTTCAGCTGTAATCAAAAAGCCGTATTGAAAATATTCTTACTACGCTAAATCATGGTATGTTATAAATCATTAAATACCAGAATATCAGAAAACGTGTTAAACTTTGGACAAACAATAATGCGATGCTAAAGGCTCAGACTAACTGTGACGTTCCACAAATGACTGATACTAGCGAGTTTCAAATATTATTTGTAACCAGCTTATCATCTGGTTACTTTAAAACACGTAATATGAAATTTTAAAATCAATATGCTCATTCTTTTATGTTACAACTACTAACTTTACCGAAGCGATACTTGAAAGGGGAAAGTTGGTTTTCTTTTGAAAAATTTAAGACAGAACACGAAATTAGTATTTCCTGCTTCAGCCATACAGGAAGGTTATGTTTATAAAACTATTTCAACAGAAGATGCATATTAATCAGATTACTGTTTAAAATTTTAAAGATACACAGGAAAATTGTCCACTCATATGTTTTAAAATGATTTAGGATCTCCTGTAGTGGCTCTAAAATATAATGCATTTCTTACAAAACTGTACTACTTTTGTGGTACATCATTCCGAAATATATGCTGACTGAAAGAAAAAAAATTCAATACTTTGTCATATATTTTACCAAAGTTGAACTGTGAACACGATAAACACATCCCCTGTATCTTCAGTCGCTTGTTTATCCACGGCTACAAATACTGTGAACTTAGAAATATTAAATTCTATGGTAATTAGATGTTATTTGATGTTTTTTTTTGTTGTTTTAAATCGTTAACACAAGTAACGCACTACACCTGACAAGCTACCAACTGCAGCTGCCCTCGTCAAGAGTGACGTTGCATAAATATCTACGGGGTTCACATTGCTTCTTTCATAAATAGGAAGTTTCGTGTACAGCCTTATATATATATATATATATATATATATATATATATATATATATATATACACATATAGTAGTAGTTACGTTAGTTAGTTAATTTAAGTTTACTTACTTAACTAAGTAACGTAACTAACTTA